GGAACGTCTTAGAAGCACGTTTGTCCTTGAGGAGAATCTCAAATCCTGAAATAAATTGATAAAAGATGAAGTTACGCGTGTGCCAAAATTTTCTCATTCTGTCCTCTATAATTTTGGTTGTTGCACTACTGATGTTTATCCAGTTGATAGTCCAGAAACGTTTGTTGAACTTTCAAAGAAGGGGAATTTGATCCCGCTTCACCGGTGCATATTCTCTGATCACCTTACGCCAGTGCTTGCTTACCGATGTTTGGTTAAGGAAGATGATAGAGATGCCCCTAGTTTTTTGTTTGAATCCGTTGAACCTGGCCTCCAGGTTTCAAACGTGGTAAGTAGTTCAAAACTTTCAATTTTTTTTCCCTGCTTTATAAACTGCCAATCGTAGTATGTAGGCTGCTGATTAGAAGATTTTTCTGATATGCTATTACGTTAGGGGAGATATAGTGTGGTTGGTGCCCAGCCCTCAATGGAAATTTTGGCTAGAGAAAATGTTGTTACGATTTTGAATCATGAAGAAGGGAAAAGGATAGAGAAGATTGTTGAGGATCCTATGGCAGTGCCTCGAAGTATCATGGAGAAATGGAAACCTCAACTAATTGATGAACTTCCAGATGCTTTTTGTGGTACTAATTGACTTATTATGTTGATAATATATTTTACTTTGTGTTTCCATACATCTATTCCAACATAAATCTTTGTTTTGATAAAATTTAACAATCAATGTTACTGTTCATATTTAGAAGAAGGAATCCATTGAGAATTCATTCAAAAAATGTGTGGGTTGGTGGGTGTAGGTATGTATTAGGGAGCATCTTTAATGATACCATGAAGTTTAAATGACTTGAGGTCACACTTCGTTAGATGATTTGAAGTCTCCATTAGACTGCTTTTTGGATATTGCATGATTTGATTTTATTATTGGATATGATTTGATTTGAAGTCTCCATTAGACTGCTTTTTGGTATGTATTATTGTTTGCCTTACTGTTACTTAATTTGTCTTCAAATCAACCAGCCCACTCCAACCAGCCTTCAAAATCCCTAATTCTTCAAAATTAATGTCTTGCCAGGAGGATGGGTTGGTTACTTTTCGTATGATACTGTCCGCTATGTAGAAAAGAAGAAATTGTCATTCTCTAGTGCACCAACAGATGACAGAAACCTTCCTGATCTACATCTTGGACTTTATGATGATGTTCTTGTGTTTGATCATGTGAATAAGGTAGATTCATCCAATGTACATACATTCTTGTTCTCAGACTTCTTGTCGTAATCTTCTTAGTTATTTCACTGTTTTACTATTGTTTGAAGAATAACTCAGCTAAGTTGATATTTAATCGTCAGTGATTAAATAGAGAGAATGAAGTAGTTCTTTTAATTTTTCCAAATGTTGATCTCGATATCTTGCTCTGTATTGCCTCTTTAAAATTTTCTTTGTTATGATTAGTTATTTATTAAACCTTTTGAACAGAAATGGTATGTACACATTGGCAAACTGGTTTTGTGGTTAGTGATTTGAATGCGTTCAACTTTTCTTTTGTAAATTGCCACTTACTTTTATTCATTGAATTTTATTGCAGCAAGCTTATGTGATTCATTGGGTGCACTTGGATCAATATTCTTCAGTTCAAGAGGCATATGAGGATGGAACTGCTCGGTTGGAAAAGTTGCTCTCCAGAGTACATGACATAATTCCGTAAGTGATCATCTGTTTCAGGGAGGGTGATTCAAATATGGTTGCTCCCACCCCCGAGTTGTCTCTCAGATTGTTTAACACCATTGATTTCAGACCAAAGCTTCCCGCAGGATCAATAAAATTGTCAACTCATCTTTTTGGTCCAAAACTGAAGATGTCAAGTATGACAAACTTAGAATACAAAGAGGCAGTTTTGCAGGCTAAGGAGCACATCCTGGCTGGGGATATCTTCCAGATTGTGTTAAGCCAGCGTTTTGAGCGCCGAACATTTGCAGATCCATTTGAAGTTTACCGAGCTCTGCGCATTGTCAATCCTAGCCCTTACATGACTTATCTGCAGGTTGCATGCTTTACAGTTGTCACTGTGTGTTAAATTACTCTCTTTCATCCTTTGTTAGTCCAAGTGCTTTATTAATTGTATAAATCTTGTTATCAGGCTAGAGGCTGCATCCTAGTTGCTTCGAGTCCAGAAATTCTTACACGTGTGAAGAAGGTAGTCGACTAGGGCCGTTTTATTCTGTTATTTTACTATTTCCCCGTTTCTTTTAGTGATTGTCATTTTTGTTTTTATCAGTAAGTTAGCTCGCTATTAGTTAGTTAGGCTTGTACCCATCATGCAGATGTGTTCTTGTATCATCTTACTCCTAACAAAATTTCCACGTTCACAGTTTCAATGCCCCATCTTCTAGTTTCTACCTTCCTTTCTAGACTACTGGGTATTTGTCAAGTATGGGTGTGTTTTTGTTAACGTTTACAGAGGAAGGTAACTAATCGACCCCTGGCTGGAACCATTAGAAGAGGGAAAACAGAAAAGGAGGATCTAATGTTGGAGAAGGAGCTCTTGGACGATGCAAAGCAGTGTGCTGAGCATATAATGCTGGTTGACTTGGGGAGAAATGATGTTGGGAAGGTAATTTCTGTTTGATCATCATGGTCTAGTTTCTCATATTTCTTGATTGTTTTTTTATGCGATCTTAGGTTAATGCTTTCTGATTATATTAAAAAGTACCTTTATGATGGATGTTTCTTAAAGTCATCTTTAAGCTTTTGCTGTTTTCACATTCAACAATAAGATTCCTTTGTATGATTAAAACAGAGTCTCCTCTCTTGGGTTTTCTCTCAAAATTTTGATTTAGGACGTTAATCTAATATATTCTTTTGATTGGACGTTTGATAGTACAATAAAGTTTGTTTGGTACCCCAAATGATAGCCAAGGAGCAAACCAGCCATTTTTATGGCTGCTACCAACTATAGTAGCAGAACTACTGTGATGAAACCTCCAATCTAGCTCTATTCTGGTGTATTCTTTCTCCAGATCTGTTGTCTATTCGCGTTTTGTTGCCTTTCTGCTCTGTTGTAAATATATATCCTTTGCATTTGCATCAGATTTTAGCACCTAAAGTTTTCTAAATGGATATTTAATGGCCAATCTCACGTGAACTACACGTGCAGGTGTCGAAATTTGGTTCCGTGAAAGTTGAAAAGCTAATGAATATCGAGAGGTATTCCCATGTCATGCACATCAGTTCGACTGTAAGTAAAAAACCGACCAAAAAGTTTATGAACGAATATTATGTTGTCCATTTTTTCACTGTCAATGAATAACCTTGTCACCCCAAGGTTTATTTACGCTGTCTTTCTAGCGTTTTTTACAGAGTCGATGTCGTTTAGCTAAATAATTAAGCCATTCTCTTCCCAGGTCACAGGTGAGTTACTTGATGATTTAAACAGTTGGGATGTCTTGCGTGCTGCATTGCCTGTAGGGACGGTTAGTGGAGCACCAAAGGTAACGTTTTTACTTGCCAAGGTCTTAGAATTGCAGTCTTTGAACGATGGTGATTGCATGGTTTAGTTTAGTTTAGTTTCAGCACAATCCATTTCTCAACACGATTTCGGCTTTTCTTTGGACGAAGCTCATTTCACGAGCATTCATCTACGTGTTTCTAGACTTCCTCGAGGCTTTTAGTGATCAATCCCATTGCAATGCAGGTGAAAGCAATGGAGTTAATCGATCAGCTGGAGGTTACCAGGCGCGGGCCATACAGTGGCGGGTTCGGTGGCATTTCGTTTTCAGGAGACATGGATGTAGCCCTTGCTCTGAGGACTATAGTCTTCCCCACTAATACGCGTTACGACACCATTTACTCGTACAAGGACGCGAACCGCCGTATGGAATGGGTGGCTCACCTCCAGGCGGGTGCCGGGATTGTGGCGGACAGCGACCCTGCAGACGAACAAAGGGAGTGTGAGAACAAAGCCGCTGCCCTTGCTCGTGCAATTGACCTTGCAGAATCATCGTTCATTGGAGAATGATCGTAAGCTTTTTGTTTATTAGAATATGCTTTTGTTTTCCATAAAAATTTCAAGTTCCTAATTTCGGTTGTGTTCTTATATAGTAGAGATCTTCTCAGTTGAATTAATAATAATAACCATTTAGCTTTTTATTTTTAGATTTCTTAAATTGTGTTTGTGTTCTCAGTAATTTTATTAATTTTTATCCAAATTCTAAAAACTTCAACTTTTAATCAGTAGATAATATAAGTTCTCAGCTCTCTAAATTTTTAATTGTATTAATGAATTATTTAACTTTTGTTGTTTTCAAAAATAAAAAATAAAAATAACTATCTGTACTAATATAATGTAATTTAGTATTTTAAAATTTATTAGATTTTTATTTTAAAATTTAAATATTTAGTAAATTCAAATTTGAAAAACAGAGAAATTAAAATTGTAATTAAATTGAATATATTTAAATTGTATTAGTGGATTGTATATTATTTAATGTGAATATTTAGGTCAACCAAATAAGATCTTTAGAAAGTTTAAAAAATATCATTATCGTTTTATTAAAATATTAATTTTTGAAATATTTATTTAAGTACTGCAATTTTTAAAGGGTGGAATTAGAACCTAACGAATTTGGGTTACGTGGCATATATTCTTTGGGAGATTTTATATAAAAACAAGTCGGAAATGTTGTATTTTGTCTAAAATAATATTTATCAATTTTCAAAAATTTCAATAATAATCTTAAACTTTAAAAAATTAAAAAAGATATTATTAATAGTTATTTAAAATTAATACCATCAAATAAAATTTTTAAAATATTTGAAATTAAAAAATAAAGAATATTTTTGAGTTTTAAGGGTATTTTTTTTAACATTTTTTAGAATTTTAAAAATATTTTTGAGATAAACATATAATATTATTAATTTAACCTACACAAAAATTTTGGATGAGAAGCGCGGTTTAATTTTTAATTTTTAATTTTAAATTTTTAATTATAAAAAAAGCACTTGGAAACGCCGTTTTGTCTGTACGCTTTCCGTGGGCTTATTATTCTTCACTCATCCATTATCGGCTTGATGAAGCTCGTGCGCCTTCCAAGCTAATCGCCTTTACAGTAAAGGTTATCTCTTCTTCTTCTTCTTCCTTTCGATTTTTACGGATTTCACGGATGCTTCAGGATTGTGCAATGTTCTTCGTAAGAATGGCTAGCGATTGCTGTTGTCTGTGTTTGTATTTTGATCCTTGCGTCATAGGTTTTGTCTGATTAACTCGATGAATGAATTGATTCGTCTTGATTATTCTGCTATCTGATTGTTTTCTGATTCTTAATAAATCCTGGTTTCTTTTAGGGGGGGAATAAATGAAGAAGTTCAGAGAGAGTGTGAGGGCATTATCAAAATCGTCATTGATCCTCAAATTAATATGAAATTTTGATGAAAAAATTTAGAAAACCCTATCTAAAACTTTCTTTTTGACTCGAATTCTTCTCATATTGAATGGCATGTGTTGTTAAAGATTGAGTTGCTGTTGGATGATTCGATATGGTTATACTGCTTTTGCCTTCAGTTTCTCCATGTTTTCCCCGAAAAGTAACTTGAATGTGTAATTTTATCAGTCAGGAAGCTGATTTGAATTCAAGACACAAGCTATGTCGACCACGAAAATATACGTAGTGTAAGTTTCTTCCTCCCTGTATCCTTTCCATTTCTTACTCTTTTACTTGAATTGTCTGAATCATCCTTGTTGTGCGGATTCCTGCTTTTGTTTTCCTTAAATTCAACCTCATGCTGTGATTCAAATTTCACTTTGATTTTCTGCTGATATGTAAAAGATTTACAGGTACTATTCCTTACATGGCCATGTTGGAACCATGGCGAGGAGAATTCAACAGGGAGCTAATTCAGTTCAAGGTGTAGAAGCCACTCTGTGGCAGGTATTTTTGCGTCTTGATGAAATAAGAAAATGCAACATTGTTTTTTGTCACAATTGATGCTGAGTTTGGGATGAATTTTGAATGTAGTGTTTGTAGGTAAAATCAAATGCTTATTCTATACAGTTTTCAAAATTTGAGTTTTGTATATAACTAAATGTTGAAAATTAATGGCCCTTCGATAATTATTTAGACTTCGTTTGATAATCACTAAATTTGTACACTAAAATTTCTGAAAATTGTGATTATTGTCCCACAATTTATTTATAATGTTTTTGATTGGCAATAAGCTTTGCTTAACGTGACTGCCTGGTTCGGAGAAGGTGCCAGAGACATTGTCCGATGTGGTACTGAACAAGATAAAAGCTCCTCCAAAAGAAGTTGATGTGCAAGAGATCAAGCCAGAACAATTGCTGGAGGCAGATGGGTTTCTCTTCGGATTTCCATCTCGATTCGGTGTCATGGCTGCTCAATTCAAGGCATTCTTTGATGCAACAGGTGAGATATGGCAGTCCCAAGCACTTGCTGGTAAACCTGCTGGAATTTTCTGGAGTACTGGTTTCCATGGTGGAGGCCAGGAGCTTACAGCGTAAGAGACCTCTTTCTCCTTAGCTTTTCAGCATATTCTTTACATTTACATGAAATCATTGTTCATGAACGAAGAATTAAAAAAATAATCGTTCAAACGTAGTTTCACAAAAAGTAGTCCTGCTGATGTGCCGATTCAAGTTTTGGCTCTCAGTTTAGCTCCTTTTTCCATTAGCTTCATTCCCAAATGAATTTTGGTTTAGAATAGCTAGTAATTGAAGTCTCTGTTTGTGAGATCCCACATCGATTGGGGAGAACGAAGCATTCTTTGTAAGGGTGTGGAAACCTCTCCCTATTAGGCCCGTTTTACTTGAGGGAAAGTTCGAAAGGGAAAACCCAAAGAAGACAATATTTGCTTGCGGTGGGCTTAGGTTGTTGCCCTGTTTGTAGTCAAATGGTACGAGAAATTGGGATAGACTTTTTGGAAGGATAAACTTCATTTCCATTTCTGATTTGTCTGACTTATCCACTTCACGTGCCTTCAAATGACTAAAGAGAAAAGAAGGCGATAGGCCCTGCTTCTATTTCTATTAGTTCAAGCGCAATCACAACTGTAGAAGCGGCGGAGAATAGGAAAAAAAAAGAATCCGCTGTTTGTCCTTCTCTTACGCTTGAAGAAAGCGAAGATGGAGAGTACTAAAATGATATAAGACTCCCACTTTTGGCTTGGGGCACCTTTTAGGTTCGGTAATCTAACAAGTTTCTAGATTTTAAAAAGGTCTACTCAGTTCTTGATCTCATGTTTCATATTACCCTTTTCTTGTATAAATTTCTTACTCCTTCACTGATCATTGTTACGATGATGCATAGATTGACCTCGATAACGCAACTAGCACATCATGGGATGATATTTGTGCCTCTCGGATACACATTTGGGAGTGGGATGATGGTGATGAATGAAGTGAAGGGTGGTTCTCCCTATGGCGCAGGAACTTTTGCAGCCGATGGAACTCGACAGCCCACAGAGCTCGAGCTCGACCAGGCCTTTTACCAAGGTAAGTATGTTGCTGAATTAACCAAGAAGCTAAAAAATTAACCATACTTCCTTTCAACATGTATATCATATCTGGCTTGTTCAATTATAAACGTTAAACGTTAATGGTAGTGTAAAGTTATCAAAATTATAATCATGTAAATGTATGATGACGTTTATTCAACGAGGCAGGTTAAGGAAAACGTGCTCAAACGACTTTCTCTAATCTTAAAATTAGTGTTTCAAAAAGTTACTTGGCTCTCGATTATGTGTTTAATCGATCTCTATTTAAAATTTTAACATAAAATTGAATTTTATTTACCTAAACGTTCAATTTTGAGCTATTGAATTTTAAATAATATCAAATATTTCCATAAATTTTGGTTATTTTATAAAAACTCAAAATTTTGCTATAAAAACTGTTATCAAAGATGGGTTTATTCATTTATTTAATTTGTTTTGTAAATTTATAGTTTAGATCAAATCGGATGGTTAGGATTGCTCAAACTAAATTTTATAGGATAATAATTTAATGCATTATTTTTTTTCTTCTTACGTTTTCTATTTTTGTTTTAATGACAATGAATAATATTATTTATTTATTCTTGACGTTACTGATTATTAAAAGAATATAATAAATTCTCTTCCAAAATCAGCCAATACAGCTTTATTTGGTTTGGGAGTCGACTAAAACGACTTCGTTTTAGTTCAGTCAACAAGTCAACGCTGGCAGCTAATTCCACAATTAATCCGTGAAAATCGAAAAATAAGTATATACACGCACGTATATATATAAATAGAAGCAAGATTCTCCCATTTGTAATGTCCTATTCGCATCCACATCCGCCCAAGCCTACCAAAATCAAGACAAACATCTCTCTGTTTCTCTCCGCTACGCTGGAATGGAGAGCCTGTGGCGAGCGGCAACCGGCCAGGATCCAAGTCCAGAGGATTACAAGGGCGTCGAGTTCTGGAACAGTCCCGAACGCGCCGGCTGGCTCAACAAGCAGGGTGAATACTTCAAAACCTGGCGTCGCCGTTGGTTCGTTCTGAAACAAGGTAAACTCTTATGGTTTAAGGACTCTGTTGTTACTCGCGCCTCCATTCCACGCGGTGTCATCCCTGTCAATACCTGCCTCACTGTCAAGGGCGCTGAGGATGTCCTCCATAAGCCTTGCGCCTTCGAGCTCTCTACCACTGGTCAAGACACCATGTATTTCATCGCCAAGTCGGAGCGCGAAAAGGAGGAGTGGATTAATTCGATCGGCCGCTCGATAGTTCAGAATTCGCGATCGGTTACCGAATCTGAAGTTGTTGATTACGATAACAGGCGATGATTTCGACGTTTAAGACTTTTCTTCGTCTTTCACTTTCTTTATGTACAGAAATGATGCGAGATTTGGTCTCGGATGGTCGCGAGATGACTACCTTTCGTCGGTTTGGTATTATCGAATTCTGTTTCCTTATCTCTGGTTGTTAAATTTATGGCGGTGATGTGAATCGAAATGAATCTCCTCTACTTCGTTTTCTCTTTGTTTACAAACTTTCTGTCAGGCATAATCCTTATTGCTCGGTTTTTCTTGTGTATTTGATCGCCAATTTAGATTGGAAAATTGCGTGCCTACCGGAGTGTTGAGATTCCGGTTTCGTATACTGATTAATAGCTTTTGTTCTAAGATCACAGTTCTTCTCATACGGTTTCAATTTATCAAGTTGTTTTTTTCCGAACTGTTTCTTCCAAATCAACCTGTATATGAGTCTCGAGAAAGTTGTAAATTGATTCGAATTTCCTTACAGTTACGGCGCGCTCGCATGGAGTTCCAGGATCAATCGAGAAATCATTTGGTATCCTCAGCAAAACTGTACGCTAGGGCACACTACAGTTTACGAATTACTTTTCAACACAAAAAACCTGCTACGGCTCCCCCCGTAATTATCATTTCCTAGCAGCACGTCGAGAATTCCGCCTGGAAGTCGGTGAAACGATGAATTGCGTTGCCACTCGAAATCGATTATTACAGTAAATATAACATGCGGAGGATGCAATCAAGAAACCAGATTTAGCCCTGAATTTTGCACAGTTGATCGTGAAAACTGGACAAATTGAATCAACTGCAGGCTAAAACCAAGGTATCCAAACCCTAACCTATCTTTTACTGTTTTTTTTTTTCAAAATGAAGCAATATCAATTTTGTTTAGGTCCCATTTAGGAATGAGAGATTCATTGAAATGAAATTGACATTTTTCTATTTACTGTCATGAAAATATAAGTTAGGCACTCACAGTAATTGTCTGAGGAGCAATTAAAATGCTAATGAGTTTCAACAATTTAAACTGACATAAAACTAAATAATGATCTATCGCTTCCTCATTCATTATATCTACGACGATCTTCATTTCTTTCTCTATGAGAATGTGATGAAGGAACTCTACCATGAGAACATCGAGAATCTCTGTTCTTGTCTTGATTTTCCCTCCTATAAGATTCTGATCGTTGTCTTGCTGATATATCTCTTTCCCTTCTATTGTCATCTTCCTTCAACCTTTTTATCTGTCTTCTTCCCCTTTAATATATAGTCTCTTCTTGAATGCCATGGGAGTTCATCATCATGGTTCCTTCCAAGTATTTTATCTATCGTCTTCTAACTTGGTCTCATCATCATCGTGTCATTTCAATCTCTTGTCTTCTTTCTCACTTTCGTCTTGGATCCTTCTATTGATCATCCCCTAACTTTGGCTCACGATAGTCATCGATATCGTGTCTTCTCACTCTTCTCATCTTTCCTACAATCCTCTCTTGACTGACTTGAGTTCTGATTCTTTAGCGTTCTCTCGACCTTTCAATTTTTTTTTCCAAGTCATGCCTCTCATACACAGTACTCTATCACGGACTTTTATATCATCAAACTCATTGTGTCCTCACCTTGAACTTGCATCGTCTCTAAAACTCTAATCCGTGCTACATGCTAGGTTTGCCTTAAAAACGACTTTTAGTCCAAATTAATTCAAAATATTAACAAAAATTAATTAATTAATAATTGAACTTGATTAACTAACTAAAATTAATTAAAAAAACACTTCAGTAATTAATAGCCTGTTAAAATAATATATATAAGATTCCTATGATTAATTCTATGAACGTAGAAACATAATAAAACATAATTAATTTCTAACTCTCAACGATCATATTCCCAAACATACTATTTCCACTTCCCGACCAAAACATAAATAATTAAAGAAAATATCATCCAATTATATTTTTCTTTCATAAATATATTATTATAAATAGAAGTGAAAGAAAAAATAATAAATAATTTAAAACAAATTTAAAAGTCCTCCACAGGGGATCATACTTTTTTTACCTTATTTTTCTCTTCCCCTTCTCTAATTTTAATTATTATTGTTGTTATTATGAGATTAAATAGTTGGCGACATTACTCCAACTCTTGTTTCAAACTTTAAATACAAATTTGAACATATAAATTTATAACCAAGAATTTGTTTTTGATTTTATAGTAAATGGATAAACAAAATAGATTTATGTAGAAATACTTAAATTACAAGTTAACCTTAGGTTCTTGAAGAAACATAAAAGGAGGAATCTTTTAGCGAAATGGCACGCCCGCATCGGGATTCTTTAGGCAATCGAGTTTCCAATAAAGAGACGAAGATTACACTCACACACCCACGAACATAAAATAAACAAAGAGACAAAGATTTACATGATTCGAAGAGAATAAATTCTCCTACATCCACGAGCTGCAACCAATCGCAATAATCAAAGTATTTATAAAATGTATATATCTCACACTATCACAGTATAGAGTCTCTCAACAAAAGTTCATCACAAATGTCGCTCAATAAATACAAAATGACACACAAACTCAGTTAAACTCAATAATCTGCTCTTTTATATAGGGATAATTTATGTATCATAATCATATAATAAGTGAAATTTATTAACAAACACTTAATTAACTTTTAGATCTTGTCTTGCGTCCTTCTTAGGTTAATTGGGCCTCTCTTGGAAGTTGGGCTAGTAAGTTCGAAAGAGAATAATATCTGCTAGCAGTGGACTTAGGCCGTTACAAATGGTATCAAAGCCAGACACTAAACTATGTGCTAGCGAAGAGGCTGAGTCCTACAAGGATGAACGACAAGTGGGGTGGACTTAGAGAGTAATTTTAGTTTTTTTTTAAAAATTTTAATTTTGTTGAGAAAGTGTCGGGGGAGTAAATATTACTCAATCAGGTTCCTCTCTCAATCATGGGACCCATCTAAATGATGCATTTAATAAACTATCTTCATTATTGCCAAACAATAAAAAATAAAAAATAAAAAATAGGACGGTGAATTATTGACCAAAAATAAATAATTTTTTTTATCGAGTGATAAATCATTGCTTTTGTTCATTTCTAAGATTAAAATATCAACTTTATTCTATTTTAATCAATATATTTTTAAATACCTAAAATTATTTATTGTATTTATTAATAATACCAATAATTTTAATGCTGAATATATTTATAAAATTTAGTGAGAAAAGCTCGCTAGAGACACAATTTAAAATTTTAAAATATAGCAATTAGAACCGACAAAAAATAATTAAAAATAATTAAAAAAAATGTCATCCAATTATATTTTGTCATAAATATATTATTATAAATAGAGGAGAAAGAAAAATAATAAATAATTTAAAACAAATTTAAAAGTCAATACTTTTTATTATTATTATTTTTTTTTGGAAAATTTTAAATAATTTTGTCCACTCAGCAACCAGAAAGCTACAGAGAACGAGTATTTAAAAAGCGCGGGGTCAAGCCTGTCTTTATTTCTTCCTTTTCTCTCTCAGACGAAATGGAAAACAGAAAGCTCTCCCTCTCTCGCATGGTGGATTGTGGGGTCCTCTCTGTTCGCTGAAACGGTGAAGGAATACACAGCCATTTCCCTCTTTCTCTCTCTTCTCTCTGGTAATCGATTTCTTTCCTCTCTCTCTCTCTCTCTCTCTCTCTCTCTCTCTCTCTCCCCTCCCTGCTCTGAACTTCTGTCAGTTCTTCTTTTGCCTTGCCGTAATCATTTTCGGTGATCTTCTCTAAAGCCCTGCGGAGAAGTTTGTGGGATACCAGAGCTATGAGCGATAATGTCGCTTTTCTTTAAAGACGCGGATCCAGTGTTTCAAGGCGCCGGGACCAACGCGTA